CGGGAGCGGCCACTGCACTCCAGTCTGGGCGACAGAGTGAGACTCCAACTCAAAAAAAAAAGAATGAGTTCTTACCAAGCTGAGACCCAGAGAATTAATTGTCTTGCTGGAGCTTCTGATCAGCATGCTCCCAGTTCGGCTCCCTGCTAAGAGCTGTCTCAGGTCCTTAATTTAGCAGCTGGCCATTCCTGACCTGTTTGGACTTTTCCATAATTTCACCCCAACTCAGGAATTATACAGAATTCTTCCTTGTCTCACCCTGCTTTCTCCTCAATGAAGGACTTCATCCCATTCCAAAACCCTGTGTCAATAACCCTCACCCTATCCTGGTATGGGGAGTTAGAGTCCAGGGGGCTGAGCACAGCTTCAGGCCTCTATGACTCAGTTCATATTTAGGGGCCAAGAAACTAGGATGCCCACCTGTTCTTGACCTCATTGTCCCCACCATATGCAACCCACTGTGCTTTTCTCTATACTCTACATCCTATTTTGACCCAAAGTCTTGTGGGGTCAAAGCTGGGCTAGGTCAATTTCAGAAGTAGCCTGGAGGGATGATTCTTCTCTGGTGCAGGCCACCCACAGGCGCTAGCAAAGAAGCCAGAGGTGCAGGCAACACCAGGCTCTTCCCATTGCGCAGGGCTGAGGTTAGGCAAATTATCTCCCACCATAGCCCTTTAGTGCTAGCTGAAGAAGTGAAGGGTCCCCTACTTTAGAAGCTGTCAGGGTTAGGTTTCCCAACCTTGATGCTTCCCTCCCTAGCTCTGTGTTTACAGTGTGGACTGACTCAGGATGACCTCAGGGTGAGGCTTTGTGTCTTCACATCCACCTGTTCCTGTTAATAGGTCTGGTTCCTCATCACTAGTCTTTGAACTCAGTGGGAATCTACAGGGGTTCTGTGGCCCAGGATAAGCTTGGGGGTGGGAGGTCCTACAAATTTTGGGATGGGAAAGAGACCAGGGCAGCCTCTGGAAGACAATTACCAAGAGCTCCCGGAATATCTATGACTGTGCCTCTGGACTGTGGCTTTCAGAGCTGTCTGTCCCAGAATAGAGTGAACAGCACCCTCTCATCTCTCCTTAGAGTTGAGGGCAGAGAGGCTCTCACCTACTCCCAAGAGCTAAAGCTTGAGGAAGGAAACAGATGGGAATGTAATGCAGTGTGCCTAAATGACGTACAGAGAATGCCCCAGCTAGGGAAAATCTGGGGTAGTGCCACAGCAGCCAGACTATCCTTTCCTACCTTGCCACAAAATATAGCTAATCCCAAAGGATATAAGAAGGAGCCGGAATGGGAAAGGCTATCTGCAGGACCAAATGCTCCCACACTTTCCTACTGAAAAGACAAGATGCTGGGAGGGAGTTGCAAAGAAACGTGACCTGGCCTCACCTTCCAAAACCATGGATCTAAAATATGCTGGGGATAGGAGCCACTTGGCTGGGACACGGATCCCACCTGCTTTCTCACCTTTCCCCATCTCTGTTAGAAGTCGAGCTAAACAAAGGGAAGCGAGAAGCAGTCTAGGCAATGGGATCTACTCACCTCAAGCCCATGCCCATATGCTTTATCAGGTTGCTTAGGGAGATGTCCTTAGCTTGAAAGGGTTTCCTCTTCTCTGTAAACTCATGAGCTAGGCAGATGCGCCAGCCAAAGGGAGGCACCTGGTAGCCCCTAGCTTTACCCTCATAGGAAGCCATCAGCTGCCCAGAGTCCTCCGGATTGCAGTAGCCCGGCTCTTTTTGGGGTCGGTTGTCCTCAGGGATCTCGCAGTCTGTAACCTGCACAGTCTCGATCCCTCCAGTATCTTCGGGGCAGTAGACCTGTGGGTTCCCTTTGGCACAGCTAATCTGCTCCGAAACTGGTACGCCGGTTTCCATGTTTCCTGATTCCAGGGTCCCCACGACCTCGATGGCTCCAGCTTCCGAGCCCTCGGGTACAGAGTATCTCGCCAGCCTATTCCAGATTCGGGCGCCGGTTGCTGTTAGGTGCCGTCCCGCAGGGCCGGACGCTGGGGAAAGCGGAGGTGGGCTGGTGTCTCGGTGGAGCCGAGGAGCTCCTGCTTCAGCGGCGGCGGCGACAGCAATGTAGCCGCCTTGGGCTCCCCTTCGGTAGTCTCTGCAGGTCCTGGGCGGGAAGGGTCGGGCTTCGTCGTCATTGGGCCGCGAGGATTAGCTCGCCCGGCCAAAGGGCGACTGGGCCCGCGAAGAGAGGAGGGGCCGCGGAGCCAGCCCGCAAGGCACCGCCTCCGGGACCGGCCCGCAAGGCACCGCCCCCGGGACCAGCTCGCAAAGCTCCGCCCTCGGGGCCCCGCGGCGGCCTCTGCCTGGTCCCTGGGACACGGCTCTGGGGCCCCCAGGATTGGGCACCAGGCCTCGCCGGCCAGTGTCCGGGACAACCAGGTGGCACCCAGGTGGCAGCCCGTGGGAAGGTGACCCAAGGCACCGGGGCGACCCGGGCCCTTTCCGGTCCGGCCAGCCGGGCATTTCCGGCCGGAAGGGGCCCTTCCAAGGGGTGGGGGACTGAAGGGAAGTCCCGCCCTTGCCGCGCAGCGGACGTCGCCGCCGCCGCCGCCGCCGCGTACCTGGCCCAGTCCGGGAGAGGCGGGTGGGTGAGGGCCTCGGCTTGCCTTTGCCCCTGTTTCGACCGTGCGAGGTGACGAGTGGCCGTGGTCTTGGGCTGGGACGTGGAACCTGGAGGGAAGGGGGCGCAGAGGCCAGCCTAGGAGCTCCGAGG